TTTTTTTATTAGAATTCCATTGAGGTTTATCTGTGGTATTTTTGAGTATATCTCTGTGTGCAGACATCTTAGTGGATGCTGTAGGTTTTACATCACGTGTAATAACTTATCATGGTTTAATAGGGTCAAAATTTTAGTACTTTGAAAGATGTATGGAAACCTTATTCCTTGATTCCCTGTATGTCTCTTTACCCTCCTCTGTTTCTTATATATTTGTCTTAAATATTTATCTATATACACTTAGAATCACATCTGACAATGTCATAATTTTAACTTCAACTGTCAAATAAATTTACCAAACTGAAGAGGAAAAGGAAGATGAAGTTATTCATTTTTTCCCTTTCCATTGTTGTTTTGGTGTTTTAAAGTTTCTTTTTTAATCTTTTTTTTTTTTTTTTTCCTGGCTAGAGAATTTTCTTGAGCCCCTTTTTAAAAAGTAGACTTTCTGGTGACAAGTCCTCTCAGTTTTCTTTCATCAAATGTCTTTAGAGCCCTTCCATTCCTAAAAGATAAATTCACCAGATATAAAAACCAGAATTGAAAGTTATTTTATTTCATCACATAGACAGTGTTGTACCACTTTTCTATGGCTTTCATCCTTTTCTGATGTTTCCTACTTCCATTTGTATTATTTTCCCTCCTATAGATAAGCTATTTCCTCTAGCTGCTTTCAAAATTTGTTCTTTCTTTTAATTTTCAGATATTTTACCATGGTATACCTTAGTTTGGATTCTTTGTGTTTATCTTGGTTAGTGTTATGCACTGAAAGTTTGTGTCCCCTCAAAATTCACACGTAGATATCCTAAATTCAATGTGATGTTATTCGGAGATTAGGTCTTTGGGAGGTAATTAGGGTTAGATTAAGTCATGAGGGTGGGTCCCTCATGTTGAGATCAGAGGCCTTAAGAGAGAGAGAGAAAGAGAGAGAGAGAGAGGGAGAGAGAGAAGGAGACAAGAGATATTTTTTCTTCTCTCCAACATGTGAGGATACAATGAGATGATGTCCATCTACAGCCAAAAAATGTCTTCAGCAGAACTCAACTATGCTGGCATTCTGATCATGGTCTTCCAGCTTCTAGTATTGTGAGCAACACATTTCTGTTTTTATAAACCACCCATTCTATGGTATTCTGATACAGTAGCCTAAAATGGCTAAGAGATTTTGAGTTTCCTTGAATTTAGAAATCTGTGGGGTTTTGCCCATTGCCAAATTAAGGACGTTTTCAGTCTTTGAGACCTTTCTCAAAGTTGACTATTTCTTCTGTCCTTCTGGGACTCTGAAAACACAAAACTTAGGCCTTCAATTATAACACTACAGGTCCCTGAGACTGTGTTTATAGTTTTTTTCCTGCTTATATTCTTGAATTTTTTTATGTGGTTTTTGTAAGTTTCAGTTCTAAAATTTCCATTTAGTTCTTTCATATATTTTAATTTCTTGGCTGAGATTATTTTTTAAATTTGCTTCATATATGTTTGTAAGTAATATACTGGAAGCATTTTTATGATGACTGCTTTAAAATCTTTGCTGAATAATTCTAACATCTTTGTCATTTTTGTTCTGGAATCTTCTAATTATCTTTTACATTCAAGTTGAGATTTTTTCTGGTTCTTCGTATACCAAATGATTTCTTTTCTTTTTTTTTTTTTTTGAGACAGAGTCTCACTCTGTAGCCCGGGCTGGAGTGCAGTGGCGGGATCTCAGCTCACTGCAAGCTCCACCTCCCGGGTTTACGCCATTCTCCTGCCTCAGCCTCCCGAGTAGCTGGGACTACAGGCGCCCGCCACCACGCCCAGCTAGTTTTTTGTATTTTTTAGTAGAGATGGGGTTTCACCGTGTTAGCCAGGATGGTCTCGATCTCCTGACCTCGTGATCCACCCATCTCGGCCTCTCAAAGTGCTGGGATTACAGGCTTGAGCCACCGCGCCCGGCCCGTATACCAAATGATTTCTAAATGAACCAGGACATTTTCGGTATTATGAGACTCTAAAACTTATTTACCCCTTCTGTCTTAGCTAGCTTCCTCAGACATTACTCCAGCAAAGGAAGGGAGTGAGGGAGGGACACTGCATTACTGCCAGGGGATGGTAGAAATAAAGGTTTCCTCTCAATCTCTGTGGACACCTAGGCAGGGGAAGTTTCCTCATAACTGCTTGCTGGAGGGTGGGTTCTGGCTCACCACTAGGCCTCCACTGATAACCTGTCTAGGGGGCAGAAGTGCCTTGTTACTGTTTCCCACATGACCTCCACAAGCACTACCTGGTATGGAAAGGAGAGTGCTTCTTCATTGCTGCTTTTAGAGTAGATCCAGCTCTCCATTTGCTCTCCAGTCATATCAAGGTGTGGAGGGAGAATGAGGGGCTTATTACCACAAATTGAGGATGAAAGTTCCAACTTCTGCTATTCTGAGATGCTATTCTGGAGGAGGGTTGGGACACCTTGTCGCGGCCTGGCAGGTGTAAATATCTAAAGATCTAAGCTCTCCACTTGAGGTGATAGTGTTTTCTGTGGCATTTGGCTATGGTAGAGTGATTACTGTCTAAACGTTTTCTGCTTTGGTAGACTATTTCCTTGACCTTTGGCTAAAATAATAGGCTTTGTTGGGAAATTCTCATATGTGCCTGTTAATATTTCTATGTTGAAGGCATTTTCAACTAAAAGTCTGCAAATTATAAAGTGAAAAAAAAAAAACTTAGAGAATTCTTCACTATACAATTTATTGAGTCCCTACCACATCTGCCTTGGTCTCTCCAGGTCTGAGTTGTCATATATTTTATACATAATGTTCAGGGTTTACAGTTGTTCTTAGTAGAAGGAATAGGGCAAACTACATTTACTCCATTTTTCTGGAAGCAGACATTGGTTTACTTTCTGTAAGAAAGCAGTCGGTGAATTTCTGTACAAATTCTCTGTCTTTTCAAGAGGAACTGGGCTTTACTTCCCAGATTAACATCTGAGCAACAATAGACTTACAGGTGGCATTAGTATATAGGTAGAGAATAGGCTGAATATTAAATGTTAAGGAGCAGAATCGTTGGAATTGAAATGAAGGAGACTTCGTTTTTATTCATGTTAACCAGCCTCCTGATGATATGCAACAGTGCATTTGTTCATCAATATACCTTTTGCACGACCTTTCTGCTTCTTTTTTGAATGGTTCTAATGCTAAAGAAAGTAAATGTTTATCAAATAATCTATCTTTTAGATAATTCATTATTATAAGTTAATTCATTATTAGAAAGATAATTTATTACTAGAAGATAATTCATTATTAGAAAGAACAAAACGAGCCTTTTCTAACAAAAGAATAAATAAACAAATGTATTGAACTTTTGTTGTATATCATGTAGGGTAATTTTATATACATGTTGCATTTTACAAGAATTAAATCATGTAATTTTGTATACATCATGTAGGGTAATTTTATATACATTAAGCATTTAATTCTTGTACGTAGCCCTCTGCCTTAGCCAATTCAAGCTGCTATTAACAAAATATCTTACCTTGGATAATTTATAAATAATACAAATGTATTTCTCATAGCTCTGGATTCTGGAAAGTTGAAGACTGAGATGGTACCAGATTTGGGGTTGAGTGAGAGCCCATTCCAAACAGACAATTTCTCCTGGTTTCTCTCTCATGAGGCAGAAGTGTGAAAGAAGGATGAACATTGAGTCCTTACATGTCAAAAGAGATGGAACAGTTCAGCAGCCTTTGGGAGCCTCTATTTGTAGGGAAATTGATCCCATTCATGAAAGTAGAGTCCACATGACTTAGTCACTTCCCCCAAAGACTCCATCTCTTAATACTATTGCATAGGGAATTAAGTTTCAACATAGGGAATTAAGTTTCAACATAAATTTATTTTGTAGAGACATAAACATTCAAACTAGAACATTCTGTCCCTGGTCATTCCCCCAAATATATGGTCTTCTCACATACTAAATACATTTATTTCATCTCCAAAATCCCCAAAGTCTTAACTTATTCCAGCATCCACTTTAAAATCTAAATCCAAAGTCTCATCTAAATATCATCAAAATCAGATATGGTGTGGCCAGTTTTCTAATACTGAACCATCTTTAACGTCCTCATCCTCTTTCAACATGGTTTATTATTCTTTTAGCATCCTGTTCATTTGTTTATGTACTATTGAATAGTTTCCCTAGCAGAGTATCCTTGTTGTCATATATATGTTGTTTAATGAAACTCACAATAAATTCAGAAACTTGTTTCCTGTACTTAAAACATTTAAATAAGAATTATGTGCTTTTAATGATAAAATTTAGATATTAAAATTTCCTGTATTCAATGACATTGGAAGTGATAATGAGAGGTGTTTGGAGATAGTTACCTATCAAATTCTTTTGCTTCTTAGGGTTATTTTCTATCCAACTTTCCCTCAGCATCTTGAGTTAAATTTGGCAGTCTATGTTATCTGACAATAATACTGATATTGCTGGAATTTTCACAACAAGAACAGAGTTTTACTCAAATTTCTTGCCCTTTAAAATACATTATGCTGCACCTTTTACGAAATCCACTTAAGTTTTTATAAAGAATGGTGAAGGACTTAGGGAGGAAGAGAAATGAGCAATGAGAAAAGAGGAGAAAAGAGAATAGTGAGTTTTATGGACAAGAGATCTAGAACTACATTTATGCCCCTAGAAACCAGGATTAATAGTTGTGGAAATTTTAAGAATTCCCCAACACCTGCAACTCCCTCTCGTTTGTTATATATTCCTTGTTTTCCTAAAGTTACAAGAATATCAATGAAAGATGTGAAAATAATTTTAAGAATTTGCATTTGTGCTATGCAATCTAGGACAAAAAAGGAGCAATGAAACTCTTTCCCTTCGGCAGCTAGCTTTATTAAGATAAAGGAGGAGGGAAGCCTGATGGAAGCATCAGTGAACAGGAGTCCCAGATATTCTTAGATTGTATTAATGACCCTCAAATTCCAGACTCAGAAACACCCACAAAGAGAAGCAACAATCAGAAATTGCATGCTATTAGTATTTTATTGGTATACTGAAGAAAGAGTTATGACCACATTATTTCAATGTAATGGCTTTCTGAAGGAAGTTATCTTCTTATTTATTTTCTGAAACAAACAAACAAATAAGGAAATTTATACACAAGACACAACATAGCAAAATGTATCTAATTCCTTGATGGTATTAGTAAAGTAAATTATTGCTTTCAAGATTAAGAAAACAGATTATTTTTATGGTGTTTATGTTTTGGCTACTGTTCAAAACATTCAAGGTTATATTTATGAAAATGACTGCAACTTGAACCTACAGTAGTGAAAAACTAATACAGACCCACATCTCAATTAACAGTGGTTGATTGAAGAAATCATGGTACAGTCACACAAGAGAGTAGTATACAATTGTAACAACAAAATAAAAATGTACAAATATAAATTTATACAGATATAAATCACCAAGAAGATCTATATGTCTCTGTGAAATGACAAAGTTATCTAAGACATATATTATTTGAAATAAGCAAGTACAGATCTGCATTTAAAATAATATATCACTTATGGGAAAAATAATGACATACGCTTATATACATATACATATTTCCAGGAGGATGTTCAAAAAATTAATGGTGGTGACATTTGGTGAGGGGTGTGGGTAAGTAGGATAAGGCATCACTTTAAGATTTAGCTTCATACCATTCTATTCAGTTAGATTTTTTTTTTCCTTGAGGATGTACTAATTTCAAAATAAGTATTTTAAAAATTAAATAAGATATAGAAGCATCAAGTTCAAGTATCATTTAGCAGGGACACTGGACCTGAGAGGCTGGTGTGAGGCAGAACTGAGCAAAGAGTGTTGTGGTGGAAACCAGAGAGAAACCTGAGATGGAGAGTCCCTGGGTCTGAGAGGGCAGACTCAAAGACGGGAGGCAGAGCACCAAAGGGAGAACACACCCCACTTCCTCATTGCCAACTCATTTTAAGGAGACAACTCATCTTAAGAAAAAAGTTGGAGAGGTCAATATTTCATAAGATAAGAATTCTTTGAACTGCTTGTTAAAAATACAAGGACTTGCAATCTTATCCAAGAATACCTGGATACAAATCTTTAGAAATGGGGTTCAGGATTATGTAATTTCAACATATTTCCAATTGATTTGTGAACACAGTAAAGTTTGAGAACAGTAACAGTTTGGGCATTTAATGGAGAATGAACTGGAATCATACCTGTCGTTGAATTCTAGATTACTACCAGCGTGGCTGGTCCTGGAGATGTCTTGGCGGTTTGTCCCCCTGGAAGAATGCTGGTACTTCCTCCAGCCTTACAGGAGGAAGTCGGGGTAGAGGGCGGTGAAGGTCTGTTCGTTGGGGTCGACGTCGTTGATTTTGAAAAGGAAGTGGGAGAGGATAGCGGTGATGGCCTCCTGGTTGTGGTGGTCTCTGCTGAGGACCATCGTCTTGGTTACAGCTATCACCAGGGAGTCTGGGTAGGAGTCCTTCAGGAGGAGGTCTCTGGGGTCCCTGATCTGGGCTCTGACTTGAGTCCTCTACATCTGTGTGAGTAATTAATGGACAGGAATGCATGAGCTCAGTGAAGAAAAGCTCTCCTCTCTTTATACTTCTCTCACCTTATCACATAGCCCTGTTCTCCCCAAACCTGCTGCTTGACTGTCATCTTCCTTTGTGCCCACTGTTTTTTTTTTCCCCTTTTTATGCAGCTGTCCTCTTAATCCATGTAAGAGTGATATGGAAAGTCTCATTTATTTGCTCCTGTGACAAGTATGTTTCCATAAATTTTGAAAAGAGGGGTTCTTGCATATCTTAGAGTTGCCAGAGGGTATCTCCAAGGACAGAAAAAAAGCAAAAATATTATAGCTTTCAGTTATGTTGCTGGTTATTTTTTTTGGTTGCTGTAATAACTTACAAACTGTGACTCCATCTCTCGGCACCTAAGCCCTATGCAGAAACTAGAGCTGATTTCCCAGGCTCCTGGAACCAAGCAGAGAAATACTAAGAGACAGAAGAGAAAGACAATGTGAAAGCTTGCACAGGATCACTAAACAGCTGTGGCAAGAATTTATCATCTGTAGTGACACAGCTGAGTGGGTCAACACAGAGAAAAGACATTCATGCACTGTTTTTTGTTTTGTTTTGTTTTGCCTTACTCCCTAAAGCCACATAACTGTGCAGGAGAACACTGGGGAAGAAAGAAGGAGTTAAGGATGGAGGAGTCAGAATGAGAACACTTCTCATTTGTTCATCATCTCTCAGCAGTCATTCTAGCCTGGGAAAAAAGCCTGCTCACTCCTAATGTCCTCAAAGCCAGGCATCTCTGTATTCAAGTTGGTGGCCTGGCTCATGGTCCCCAGAATCAAAGATGGGTAAGAATTGTCTATATATTTAGGGGCACTAGTATTAATACCTGACCCCTCTTACCACCTCCTCACAAAAAAAAAAAATGAGAAGAAGACACTGAAAAAACTTTTAAAAATTCTAGTGGAAAGAAAGAAAAGAAATGGATTGAGGATCATTGGGATTTACCTGGTGTGGTGGGAGTAAAGTCTTCAGAGATCACATCTAGGAAAAGAAGTACAGGATGAAGTAAACATTTCCTCATAAATCTTTCAGGGCTCACAAGTGGTCTATAGGGAAAGGGGTCTTCTGGCCACACCCTGTGCATCCTAAGTTACCTTGTCAACCATCTTCTGTGAAGCTACTGGAAGGGGAGGAAGATGTTAGGGGAGGCAGGATTGTTACTACCACTGAGCATCAACCATGAAGTCAACATAGAAGAGTCCCTTTTTGTCATCCTTAGGATCCCTCAAACCCTAATGCTAATTTAGGCAAACTGCTCTGGGTGTTTTCAAGTCATATTTTAGTCTTCTACCTTATTCCTTCTCTAAATATTTTGATCATACTCACAAGCTTCCCCAAGAGGAGCAACCAGGAGTAAATATTTGGACACAATCATGTACATGTACTGCCAGCAACATATTGAAATTTTAAATGTGATTGGAAGAAAATGGGAATTTGGGGACCTGATATTTCTATACCACTATGTAGAAACACACAAATTTATCTTCCAGTCCTCTATGTCTGAAAGTACTTTGATGTTTGTTTATCTCTTTCATTGATGTTGCATCCCCTGTACAGCAAGGACACTATCATCACTGTCCACTGAGATTACTGTAGGATCTTCACAGCTGGACTTCCCTGGATCAGTCTTGCATTCTCCATTGCATCCTTCACAGCACAGCCAGGTCTTTCTAAAAATACAAATCTTACTTTGTCATTCCTCTAATTGAAATTCTCTATTTGGTTCCAAGTGTATATTAAATAAAGTATCAGGCCTTGGGATGGAATGAGGGCACAACAGATGTCATCCTTGGAATGAGAGCTCTGAAGCCTTACCCTTCTTCTCAACCTCCTTCCTTCCATCCTGCTCTTCCTCTGCAGTGGTGTGGGGTGAACCCCTGAGGGCCAGGAAGAGTCACAGCCCGTCATCCCACTCCCCATCTCCTCTTTAAAAAATTTTTTTTTACCATTATCTGTGCTCTGAGCTGAGCTCAGAGCCAGCAGGACCACTGACAGCAGGACCAGCAGCATCTTGAAGGAGGCTCTGGAGTTGCTCCCAACTCTGTGCTGAGAGAAACATGGCAGCTCCCTTTATAAACATGAGCAGAACAATGGCACCTTTGAACTCCATACTGGGTGGACCTCACCACTTGAAAGATTAGGTTTTGCTTTCCTCTCATAAAGTTGAATGCATCTCTTATTACTTTTTGGGACTTTAGCCCAGCAGGATGTGGTGGTAGGATGTGGTTAGGTACAACCTGTGACTTCAGCATAGTTTCTGAAGGAACAGTATCCAAGCAATCAGCACAAATACTGCAGCTGAAGTTTGGTCATCATTTTATTTTCAATCGGGTTAGACAGTTATTTGGTCCTTCCCCTGCATTGGTTGTCTGTGTGCACATGAGCTCACATTTATATATGTGTGTCAGCAGTGATCCTATAGTCGGAAGTGAAAATGATTAATATCTCTAGCTATTTGTATAGCATAAATTCCATTTTTATGGCATATATACCTATGTGGATGATATGTAGCTTCATTTCATAATAATATAGAGATCATTTCTGTTTAATGTTGAGTTGTGTGAGGACAAAACACACTTGGGCACACATGGATGACAGATGGTTTACCCTCAGGCTACTCTGGCCCAAAGAGATTAAGATTCTCCTAATCTAGCACTAACCAGAGATACTTTATTGTTGTAGAACACACATATTAAAACATTCTATCTTTATTAATATCCTGGGGGTTAGTAAAGCAAAACTGGCCACAGAAAGCACCATTAGATTTCCGCACAGAATAGTGTGAATACACAGTTCCTTGAACAAGCCATGCTATTGTATGTCCCTAAGACTTCTTCCATGGTCTTTCTCTCTTCTAGAATGTTCTGTAAGATTCAGTTTAGATCTTACTTCTTGTACTAAATATTTTAATCACGCTGACTGATTATTGAGTGGACACAATAATACAATCTAATTAGATAGTATCATAATCTGTTGAAAGCCTCAAGTATTGCATTGATTTTCTATTTTTTAATTAGTTTCCATGCTATTTGCTTCTCAGATTGCCTTCACCAAAGATTATTTTCTCTGTAATATTATTATACTCATTCTTCTTCACTCTTGTGCTGAACCTTACTTGTTGATACGTTATATTGTGAATCAATCCTCTCTATGCCTATGTTTTATATCTGGCTGCTTTCTTCATGCGTTCTGGTAGAAATCTTTATTTAATTTTCTAAACAAGGTTCTATACTTTTCTTCACTTGCTTTCTTCATTTTTGTTTTTAAAATTTGGCACCAAGATACTGTGTTTCCAAAAGGTTTTGTAGGGTCCTGTCTTGGTAGCTCAATCTTCATCTGCTGATTTTTCTGTTCTATCTAGTGGTTTTCCACTTATATTTTCATGGAACAGCTAGATCAGTCAGTATCACCAGCTGCCACTTTTCATTACAGGCCTTGTGTAGGTCTTGTATTTTTTTTACATTTTTGTACAGGGCTAGTGATAATTTGAGGATAGCTTGGTTGTAAGTATGACAGGGTCAGGGGAATGTGACTGGAAATCTTAAAAACAGGCCTCTTGACCATTGTGGATGAGTGGATCATGTGCTGTGCAGATGAAGATCTGGTCTGGCTCTTCTGAAGTGTTGGAGGTAATATTACAGGAATATTTTCTAATCAATGGTGTTTGTTATGGATAACTTTACTTTGGCAAGGTGGCCAACAAATAAATATTTTCTCTGTCATAATTATGGATATATTTTGAAGGTGAAATATATTATGAGTTAGCAATTCTTCTCTGTGTGGGAAGCAGAAGAGTTCTAGCTGTGCTTTATGGATTTTATGGATTAGAGAGAGTAGTTGTTTGGCTCTACAGATCCAGCTGTGTTACTGGGATTGCTGTCTCTGATTTCACCAGACACCATTTAACGTGGGAACTGGAGATAAGCAGTCCTGCCTAGGTGGTTCACAGTAGACCATCAGCTAGGAAAGGAAGGTCAGGTAGAAGGAGCAGAGGGGAGTGCCAGGCAGACATGATTCACTGTGTGGGTGGCTGTGCCTCAGTAGGATAGGGCACTGGTCAGAGTCATGAAGCCCTGATTCCAGACTCTAGCTCCCAGATGACATTTCTAGATACACACTGATCTGGAAGGAAACCTACTGCATTGAAGGGAAGAGCCAAGTCATAGAAGAACCAATCACCTGCTGACTAAAGAGCACTTGGGCCTTGAATAACCTGCAGTGATATCCAGGTAGTATGGTGTGGGCCTTGAGTGAGACTCTGAGATGTGCTGGTTTCAAGTGAGACCCAACACATTCCTAGCTGTGGTGGGTATGGTCAGAGACTCTCCTGCCTGAGAAAAGCAGAGAGAAAAAGTAAAGGGGACTTTGTCTTGAACCTTAGGTAGCAGGTCAGCCACAGAGGGGTATAACAGCAAGTGGGCTATTGGGGTCCCCAATTCCAGGCCCTGGCTCTTGGACAGCATTTCTGGACCTGCTCTGGGCCAGAGGGGGAGCCCACCACTATGAAAGGTGAATCCTAGATCAGGCAGCATTATTCACCATAGGCTGAATGAAGAGCCCATGGTCCTTAAGTGAACATCAATGGTAGCCTGAGAGTATTCCCAAAGGCCTGTGGTGATGGTGGCCATGGGGTAAGGTGCCTCTGCATATGAAAAGGGAAGATTAGAATGGGAAGAATTGCATCTCCTGGCCTGAGTGCTAGCTTAGCAGCAGTAAAACAGAACGCAAGGTAAATTTCCAAAATTTTGGACTCTGGTCCCTGACTCCTGGACAGCATCTTTGGACCTGCCTGAGGCTAGGGGATCTTGCTGCTATGAAGAGAAGCACATAAGCCTATCCGTAAACCCAAAAGCAGTACTAAGAAGGACGATTATTGCTATATGTGCCTACATCAAAAAAAAAAAAAAAAACACTGGCATAGAAACAGACATTTTTGGACTGTGAGCCTGGCCTCTATGAATCATCACTTCAGCTCCTGATTGGTCATGGGCCAAAGTCCTGGGCCAAGCTTTCACTTCATCTTCTGATAGGCCCCAGAGCAAGCTGAATCATCACAGCCTCTATGAATCATCACTTCAGCCTCTGACTGGTCCCAGGCCAAGGCCCTGAGCCAAGCTTAGTCACAAGTTCTCCAAGACAGCCCATGGGCTAAGCACATTCCTTCTCCTTCCTAGTCCATAAATACCCTGGACCCCAGCCTCATAGAGGGCAACCCATTTGGGTTCCCCTCTCTGCTGACAGAGAGCTTTCTTCTTTTGCTTATTAAACTTACGCTTTAACCTCACACTTGTGTCTGCACTTCTCAATCATCTTGGACATAGGACAAAGAACTCCAGATACTATCTCAGACAATGAGAGACTGTTACATCTTGGTGCATTGACAAGACTACAACACGACAACAAGAAAACTTGGGGGAAACTCTCCAGAACACCAGAGCGGGCAAAGATTTCTTGAGTAATACCTCAGGAGCACTGGCAACCAAAGCAAAAGTGAATAAATGGGATCACATCAAGTTAAAAAGCTTTTTTTCACAACAAAGAAAACAATTAACAAAATGACGAGACATTTCACAAATATTTGCAAACTATCCATCTGACAAAGGATTAATAACCAGAATATATAAGGAGCTCAAACAACTGTATAGGAAAAAAATCTAACAATGCAATTTGAAAAATAGGCAAAATATGTGAATAGACTTTTCTCAAAAGAAGACATACAAGTGGCAAACAGACATATGAAAAGGTGCTCAACATTATCAATAATCAGAGTAATGCAAAATAAAACTACAGTGAGATATCTTTTCACCCCAGTTAAAATGGCTTTTATGCAAAAGACAGGCAACAACAAATGCTGGTGAGGATGTGTAGAAAAGGATACTTTTATGCACTGCTTGTGGGAATGTAAATTAGTATAACCACTATGGAGAACAGTTTGGCAGTTCCTCAAATAGCTAAAAATAGAGCTACCATGCGATCCAGCAATTCCACTGCTAGGTATATAACCAAAAGAAAGGAAATCAATATATCAAATAGATACCTGCACTCCCAAGTTTACTGCAGCACTATGCATAATAGCCAAGATTTGGAAGCAACCTAAGTGTCATCAACAGATGAATGAATAAAGAAAATGTGGTACATGTACACAGTGGAATATTATTCACCCGTAAAAAGCATGAGATCCTGTCATTTACAACAACATAGATGCAACTGGAGGAGACTATGTTAAGTGAAATAAGCTAGGAACTGAAAGACAAACATTGCATGTTCCTTCTTATCTGTGGGAGCTAAAATTTACAACAATTGAACCCATGGAGATAGATAGTATAAGCATGGTAACCAGAGGCCTGGAAGAATTGACTGGGGTAGGGGTATTGGGGTAAAAGTGGAGACTGGTAATGGGTACAAAAATAGTTAAAAATATGAATAAGACCTAGTTTTTACTAGCACAATGGGGTTACAGTAGTACACAATAATTTAATTGTACATTTAAAAACAACTACAAGAGTATAATTGGATTGTTTGAAACACAAAGAGTAATTGCTTGAGGTGACGGATACCCCATTTGTCGTGTTGTAATTATTGTATATTACACGCCTGTATCAAAATATCTCATATAACCTATAAATATATACACCTACTATGTACCCCTAAAATTAAAATTTAAAAAAAACTTCACAGATAAAAATTGTTAAAAGAAAAGAAAACCATCCAGTCATATATAAGGGAATGATCACCAGACCAACAGATAATTTATCAACAGAAAGTTTATAGGCTGGAGAGAATAGTATGGAATATTCAAAGTTCTGGAAGAAACATTTTCAGTCATACATACTATACCCAGAAATGTTATCATTCATAAATAAAGGGGAAATAAAATCTTTCACAGAAAATCAAAAGCTGAGGGAATTTATCAGCATTAGACTAACCTTATAACAAATGTTCAAGGGAGTTCTACATCTGGAAGCAAGCAGATGATAATCACTATTTTGAAAACATACAAATACTCACTGTTAGAGAAGACACACAAAGAAGAAAGAGAATCAAGCCTTATTATTTCAGAAAACTAACAGAAATGATAAAAAATAAGAGAGGAAGAAAGGAAGAAAGGGACATGTAAAACAACCAGGGAATGATGAGCAATATAGAAAAACCACAACCTCACATGTGAATAATAACCTTGAAGTAAACAAATTAAATTCCTCATTTAAAAGATACATAAGTCATATAAAAGGGAACTCCCATTAGATTAACAATGAATTTCTTAGAAGAAACCTTACAGGCCAGGAAAGAATGAGATGATATATTTAAAGTATTGAAACAAAATTCTTATCAGCCAAGTATACGATTTCCAGCAAAGATATCCTTCAAAAATGAAGTAGAAATAATGGCTTTCCTAAACAAGAAAAACTGGAAATTCATCACTACTACACTGGTCCTACAAGAAATGCTAGGCCGGGCGCGGTGGCTCAAGCCTGTAATCCCAGCACTTTGGGAGGCCGAGACGGGCGGATCACGAGGTCAGGAGATCGAGACCATCCTGGCTAACACGGTGAAACCCCGTCTCTACTAAAAAAATACAAAAAAAAAACTAGCCGGGCGAGGTAGCGGGCGCCTGTAGTCCCAGCTACTCGGGAGGCTGAGGCAGGAGAATGGCGTGAACCCGGGAGGCGGAGCTTGCAGTGAGTGGAGATCGCACCACTGCACTCCAGCCTGGGCGACAGAGCGAGACTCCGTCTCAAAAAAAAAAAAAAAAAAAAAAATGCTTAAGGAAATTCTATACCTTGAAGCAAAAAGACAATATGGTCCATCAGAAAACACACAAAAGTATAAAACTCACTGGTAAAGCAAATACACAAATGAAAAAGAAATACACAAATGAAAAAGAGAAAGGATTTAAATTTTACCACTACAGAAAATCAACAAATGACAATTATAAACAATAAAAGATATAGAAAGGAAAAAGGATATATGAAATAACCAGAAAACAATGAATAAAATGACAAAAATAAATCCTCCAATAGTAATAATAAGCTTGATGGTAAATGAATTAAAATTTTGAGTTTAAAGATATAGACTGGCTTAATGGATTTTTAAAAACATGACACAACTATATGCTGCCAATAATACAGTAAATTTGTCTGTAAAGACACATGGACTTAAAGTGAAGGGATAAAAATGATATTCTACGTGTCTGTTGGCTGTATGAATGTCTTCTTTTGAGAAATGTCTATTCATATCCTTTGCCCACTTTTTGATGGGGTTGTTTGTTTTTTTCTTGTAAATTTGTTTGAGTATACATATGTAACAAACCTGCACGTTATGCACATGTACCCTAGAACTTAAAGTATAATAATAATAATAAATTAAAAAATGATATTCTATGCAAATAGAAACAAAAAGTGAGTAGAAGCACTATACTTGTATCAGATAAAACAGATTTTAATTTTTAATTTACAAACAGCAAAAAGACACAAAAAAGGTCATTATGTAAGATAAAGGGATCAGTTCAGCAAGAGGGATAATACAATTCTAAATATTCAAACAACACTAGAGCACCCAGATATATAAGGCAAATATTAGACATAAAGGGGAAGATAGATTCCAATAGAGTAATAGTTAGGGACTTCAATGCCCCACTCTCAGCCTTAGACACATAATCCAGAGTGAAAATTAAGAAATAAACATTGGATTTTAACTGCACTTTAGACATGTCTCAAAAAAAGACATACGAATGTCCAACAGGTATATAAAAACTGCTCAACATCACTAATCATTAGGCAAATGCAAATTAAAACCACAATATCATCCTTCTCCAATTAGAATAGGTATTATTAAAAGTAAAAAAAAAAAAAAGATGCTGATGAGGATGCAAGAAAAAACTCTTACATACCCTTGGTGTTGGTGGGAATGTAAATTAGTACAGTCACTATGGATACAATATGGAGATTTCTCAAAATAACTAAAAATAGAATGACCATATGATCCAGCAATTTCACTTCTGGCTATTTATCCAAAGAAACAGAAATGAGAATATCAAAGGGATACCTATATTCAAATGTTGACTGCAGCACTATTCACCATTGCAAAGATGTGGAATCAACCCAAGTGTCCATCGGTGGACAAATTGATAAAAAAAAAAAAAAGATACATATCCACAATGTAATACTGTTCACCCATAAAAAAAGAATAAAATCATGTCATTTGCAGCAACATGGATGGAACTGGAGGGCATTATGTTAAGAGAAATAAGCCAGGCACAGAAAAACAAATATTGCATATTCTCACTTATGTTGATCACACAGTGGAGAGAATAGAATAATGGCTACAAGAGACTGGGACAGGTGTGTGTGAGGCAGGGGAATGAGTATGAAGACAGGTTGGTTAATAAGTTCAAACATACAATGAGAAGGAATAAGTTCAAATGTTTGATAATAGATTAGGGTGACTATGGTTAACAATATTTCAAAATAGCTAGAAGAAAGGACTTGAACAGTTCCCCAAACACAGAAATAATAAATACTCGAGAAGATAGATACCCTAAGTACTCTAAATTAATCATTATACATTCTATGTGCTTATAACAAAATATCATGTGTCCCATAAATATGTACTAACATTATGTATCAATTTTTAAAAACCAGGCTTGATAACTTCACTGCTGAATTCTACCAAACATTTAAAGAGGAATTAATACTAATTATCCTGAAACAATTCCAGATATTACAGAGGAAGAAACACTTCCAAACGCATTTTACAAAGCCAGCATGACCCTGATTCCAAAACGAAAGATACATCAAATAAAAACAGCCGCAAGCCAACATCCCTGATGAACATCAATGCAAAAATTCAACAAGATTTTAGCAAAGTTTACGCAGCAGCACATGAAAAAGATCATTCACTATGATCAAGTGGGTTTTATTCAACATACATAAATCAATAAATGTGATGCACCTTATGAACAAAACGAAGGGCAAAAGCCATATGATCATCTCTACAGATACAGAGAAAGTATTTTATAAAATTCAATATCCCTGCGTAATAAAAGCTCACAACAAATTAGACACACAAGATATGTACCTCAACACAAAGAGGCCATATATGATAAACCCACAGGTAACATCATGCAGAATAAGGAGAGGTGAAAGATTAAGATTAGGAGAAAGATAAGGATGTTCACTTTCACCACTCCTATTCAATGTAGTATTAAAAGTACTAGCCAGAGATATTAGGCAAGAGAAAGAAATAAAAAAAAAATTGAAATTGAAAAGAAAGAAGTTAATTGTTCATCTTTTTGAATGACATGATCTTATTTATAGAAAACCCTAAAGACTTCAACAAAAAACTGTTAGAATAAATCCGGTAAAGTTGCAGAATACAAAATCAATATACAAAAATTAGTAGCATTTCTATATGCTAATGGTGAACTATATGAAAAATAATTCAGAAAACAATTTCATTTACAGTAACCAAAACAGAATAAAATACCTAGGAATAAACTTAACCAAAGA